CGAAGCAGAGGAGCCGACCTTAAGTGAGAGACCTGCAGACAAGAAGCGGAGGAGCCGCTGGGCGAGCTGCAGCAGGAGGGCGAGCGGCGGGTGGCGCACGAAACGGAGCATGCCGGGGAGGACGTTCCTCGGTAGGCGCTCCCGGGGACACTGGTGACGAGTCAAGACTGTACCATTATGTAGCTCATAGATCTCTGTATCATCTGTACACCACGCTGTAATCATATCATCCTACGACGACGAGCACATCGCGACGCCTGTGCATTGGTCATTTGGTTTCCGCTTGGCAGTGATGCCTCACGACCAGCGCCCCATTCAACATGGACATAGTTCACGCCTACTCTCCCTTCGCCGTTATCTTTCCGCTGGGTGGGCACGTTCTGGGCGCTCTCACAATTTCGGTGCCGTGTGGCTTATCAAAGGGTCACCTTTCAGACGTAGAGAGCGCCCAGTATTAGACGTACCAGTTTTACCCTCTTCACTCGCGTCCCACTTCAATACGAAGGAAGACGAGGCGAAGCTTGGGTCAGCTGTGGCCTGGAAGATCATGCTTCCAAGGGGGATGACACTTGGGAGAAAGCCATGGCAGACGTGTAACCGCAGCTGGAGTGGAGGGTCACTGAGTACGTGCCGACGGATGGATCGTGGGGTCACGAGTAGCCTCGAGCACGGCACGTATGGCATCACGCCCACCGCAACCGCTGCCATGTTGTGCTGCAGCAGGATCGCCGCATGGGCTGTGCCACTTGGGCCAATGTGCACTCACAGCTCGGGCAGTACGCTCGAGCGTCACTTGGCAATCGAACGACGAGCCGTCACGGAACATCATGAGGAACCAGATATGGGGGGAATCACTTCTAGGGACTCTATTTTGTTGTACTAAAGCACTTTTCATGAGAGATTCCGGCGACGCAGAAGAAAACCTGATCCCTTCCTCTCATAACGTGCCCCAAAAACAACCGAGTCCTCACGCATAGCAAAGGAGAATCGTAGAGTCGTAGAAGTGAGCACTTCCGTTCGT